GCATCAACGGTGCTGGACCCTGTTGCGATTCTGGGACTGTTGCGGAAGGCCCCATCGGAGCTGTCGCGTGCATACTCGAAGTGTCACCTCGTGGATGACCGCTCCCGCCATGCAGCTCGATCCGCTCCTCGCCGCCGTGATCGCTKAAAGAGTCMTCAGAAACTGGAATMTGCCCAGTTGCGGGGACTCGTGATAGTGGAATGCTAGCAACCCCACCATGACGTTTGCGCACACGTGAAGCGATAGTGTCTTTTTCCCTTGGTCCGCGTTTCAAGCGCCTCAARTCACCGCCCGAGACAGGTCGTGAACCATCATCATGCACTCCATCTCGAGCGTCATCTACAGCTGTGCGGTGCTCGCCCCCTGCCCCGTCGGCGCGCATCGTGTCACCATGTGCAGGTCGTGGCCTATCTCCTCCGTCACCGTGATCATCGCCACGGGCGCCATCGTCGTCGCCCACGTTCGGGTGACGGTCGTCGAAATCGCTGTCGCCATCCTGTGCAGGCCTGCCAGTCCCGAAGATATCCTCGTCATCGCTGGACGAGCTCTCGTACAAAAAGTCTCCCTCCTCCCATCGTTGTCAAGGCTTGCGTACTAGCTCGTCCACTGCCCTTCCACGACTCGCTACACTACGCCTCCCGCCAGGACCTCCACGCCCGCTTCGCCCGCGACCGCCCTGACAACCACCTCCGCGACCGCCGCCACGACACCTCCTTCTGTCAGACTCCCGCAAGCGACGAGTGGCTCCCATGCGGGACACGACGCGCATCCTCTCTCTCGCCTGCGTCAACTCCTCCTTCGTGACCGTCACACGGGCTCCTTGGTCTGCCACAAGCTGCTGGTCGGTGGGCACCTCCTCCTCCACCTGCTGCCAGTAGTGCACCCAGCTCCCATACGGATGTGGCCTGTCACTGGGAGCATCGTCCGACATAGCCTGCCTGTCGAGGAGBCGAAGGTTCCAATGGCATCGCACGAGCTTCTCGGCCCGCGCCACCTCCAATCTGTTACGAGATTTGGAGTGGATGAAACTCCAACGGGACCAAGCTCTCTCGCAAGGCGACGCAGTCGCCCACGCACGCAGTATCCTGCCAGCGAAGAAGGCAGTGTGCGGAAACCTCTTCTCCTTCGACTCCCAGAAACAAGCTTGATGGGTATGGCTCCTCGCCGCCCGGTCCATGGCCACATCGTCGAACGGCGGCTCCCTGGAATGGAACTTGTCAATGGCAGTGAGGACCTCGGTGTGCTGATCCGAATGTTCAGGGTACCCAAACTGAATCAGAGCGAGTTTCAAACCGTGCTGCATCTCCTCGTCATCTGGCATCGTGTGGTCTCGAAACTCGGGGTCCAACATCATGGCAGCAACATGAGCAGGCGA